GTTCAAGCCTTACTTATGAACACCCTTTTGTCCCAGAGGTATATATTTTCCCAGAAACTCTACTGTCTTTGTTGTTTTTTTCGGGATTGTTTATTTTAGTTTCTGAAATTAGAAAAGAACGAGAAACACTTAAAAATAGACAGTTCAATACCACCCTTTTTTCATGCTAGGAACTATTGATATGGATAAATACAAGAACCCATTATTTTAAACTTGTAAACAGTTAACATTCTTTGTTTGATGAGAAGGAAGAGACTTTGGTGAGGTTGGGTTTCTTAGGAACAGTTAAAAAGAAAATTTTGGCTTTGTTAAGATTCCATTAGTGGGCCAAGTTAGTGACTTTTGGGTTTTTTGCTAAGGAATTTGAGGGAACTTTATTTTCTGGTTTAAACTGAAAAGACTTAATTCAAGAAAGTGTTCAAGGTTGATTTTTTTTTTTTTTTTAATTCTGAGTCTGGTTTATGAGATAACCTGAGAATGTGGAGAATTCAATTGCTTCCAGTCTGCAATGAAAAAAAGATTGTACTTTGGTGGTTGCTGATAGGATGCACATTCAAGTGTTTATAGCGATTGAAATTTTAGCACAAGTTCCTAGTTTTGATTGCTGTAAGACTATGCAGCCTAGTGTTTATATAAAACTTTAAAAACTTGATTGGAAATATCAACAATTGGCATTAATAAATTCCGTTTCATTTGCTATAAGCACTGAAGTTTTCATGGGGTTTGAAGTGTTAGCATTAGTTCAAGTTTTGCCTGCTTTAGCACTGTAGAATTGGTAGCGTTAACACCTAGAGTTGCTTTATTATATGCACCACAGGTTGCAAAAGCTGCAGATTCTTTGTACTCGGAATTCAGAGCTGTGGATAATTTGGTAGCTTGCAATTCCTCACGTGTTCTCAAAGCTTTTCAAAATAGTAGGGTTGGATCTCATGTAAGTTACACATTTTATTCAAAGTGGTGGTCACCCCTGGCTTTCATGTTTCTAATGCGTGTTCCCTGCAGTTGAGAAACCGTATCTTGCTTAAATATGTGATTGGACATATCTTTGAGGCATTTTATGCCATTGTTTACGCACATGTGTTTGCATACTTGTGTAGATTCATGTATGCATATGTATTTCATGTTATAACATGCAGATTTATCTCTACAACAAATTGCCAATTATTTAATCAGTTAATAATGATGGTGCATGTGTTGCTTTTATTAATATGCTTATTTTGTAACCAGCACTTTGCTGGGTGCACTGGCTACAGTCATGATGAAGCTGGGGGACAAGTAGCACTTGACCAGGCATTTGTGGAAATTGTTGGGGCTGAGTCAGCAATAGTGTGTTCTTAGGTTTGCTATATGTTGCCTTTGTATCTTTGGGTATTGTGTGTTCTGAACAGTTACCACTAATTCTTGTTAATATCTTGGCCCTTTTTTTCCACCAGTTCTTCTCACGTACTCATGCTATCACTTGTGCACTGTTTGCTTTTCTAAGGCCTGGGCATGAGGTAAGCTAACTTGGCTGATTGTTTCTACACTATCTTTGCAGTTATATGATGTTCAGTAGCTTTTTTTCAACCAGAATATGGTCTGGATTATTTTGGTTCTCAGCTTTTGGCAGTGGCTGGTGCTTCTTATGATACCTTAGAGGAAGTTATTGGAAAGATGGATTTTCATGGAGTGGGCTTCCTGAAAGATTTTGGAGTGATGTATCGCAAACTTCCTGTATGTTGCTAATAACATTACAGAACAAGTTGCAGCTTCTGGTTGTGAGTATTTTCTCAGATTGATATTCTTACAGCTTGCTGAAGATGGTGGACTTGACTGGGATGCGCTCACAGGTGCTTTGAGACCTCATACAAAATGTGCACTCATACAGAGGTCATGTGGTTATTCATGGCATGGGAGTTTAAGTGTGAACGGGATAGGGAGGGCAATAAAGATTATCAAGGTAATCGGTTTATATTCAGTAAAATTATGGAAACTCTATTGAATTGACCTCATTGCTGCAATAAAATCTATGAGGGTCTAGGCTTGAATGTGTTGTCCTGTGCCTTGCATGGTTTTAGCTTGGCTTGATCACTGAAATCTTGGTTTCATGAGGTGACAACTGGAATCTTGACAAAATCAAGTTACAACTTACATATTTTGCTATTCTAAATGTTCAGATAAATTGAACCACCGATAAGTTCTATTGTTATTGCTTTGCATGGAATATTAGTATTAATTCTTAAATGCATTTATTCACTATTCTTCTGTCTGAAAGGGGAAAAGAGGAAGAAAGATAGATAGAATAAAGAGTTATGAGATATTGTCTTGAAATTTCTTTATTACAATCATTTCTGCTTCTCTTATTAGTGTGGGACTCATAATTCTTTTATCCAGTTAATGTTCCCTCTTAATTCTCATTTGTATGAACAGATGCAGAACCCTAACTGCTTGGTCATGGTGGATAATTGCTATGGTGAATTTTTGGAAAGCATTGAACCTCCAATGGTGGTAGGTGGAGTATTTCACATTGCTTTTTCTGAAGAAGGGTCACATGGTTTCATTAACGGTGGGGCAGAGCACAGATTTGATTGCAGGAAGTTTGATAAAGAATCCCGGAGGAACTGTTGCACCATGTGATGGATACCTTGGAGGGAGGAAAAAATGGGTTGATGCTGCAGCGGCACATCTATCAGCACCATGCCTGGGTGTTGACTGTGGCTCAACCACTGGTGATATAATGCAAGCCTTTTTTCCAGGGTTTGTTCCTTGCACCACAAATGGTTGGTGAGGCAATTAAGGTACATTCAGCATGTTCTTAGCCCTCTGTTTTTTTTTTTTTTTTATAATTTATTTCCTTTTGTCCCTACTATGTGGCAATGAAGCACATATTCTTCTTTAATTCAAGGGAACCTTTCTGGTTGTTGAAGTTATGGCTTCTGAAGGGTATAAGGTGCAGCCTCTTCCTCGTGTCCCCCGCCATGATACTGTACAAGTTTGCTTCCTAACTGTTCCTTGTTCAGCTAATTATCCAAAGAACTGATATTGGAATTCATATGTGTTACACTTTTTGTATTTCTATAGCTGATAGGAATTATACGTTATAAGAGTACCTCTCTTTAAGCAAATGATATGGGTTCTACATTTGGATTAATTCATCAATATTTTTGTTTTTGCTAAGTTTTTTCTGCAAAATGATAAAACAATATGGAAAAGTCATTCTGCTCTTGTTTTCAGGCAGTGCAGCTTGGAAGCCATAAACTTCTCGTTGCCTTCTGTGAAGCTGTGCAAAGAAGCTCCCCTGGAGGTTCATTCACTAAACCAGTTGCTGGTGCAACTCCAGGATATGCATCAGAGGTCTGGTTATGTTTTACCTTCACCTTTATCTTGTAACGCATTGGGAAATATTTTATGGATGCGATTACCTAATGCAAATTATTAGTTTTTCTGATACCATAAGGTGCAATAGCATGCATGAATACCTCCTGACTTCAAGAACTTCAAAGTTCGCTTGCATGTTAGATTCTTCAAAGAAACTTTTAGCATCATTTCACTTCATCCCAACTCATAATAAATTGAGTTAGTTATGCAATGGCATCTGTGTAGGAAGATGTGGATCACATATAGACTAGCTTGATTTCAGGATTTCTGTATAAAATTTTGTCGATGTGAGGATTATCTGTTGTCCAGCCTCTTATTTATACTTAGTGTCTGGTTGAAATTGAGATTGTTCGTGTTATAAAAATTGGTGTTGCTAAGGTAAACACTGAGCGTGAGTAGTGGTAGAACTCTTGCATAAACTAGAGTTTAAGTACCATTACCAAAGGCCATCTAAAAGTTGCATTTTCTTCTTTTGTATTATAAATTCCTATTTTTTGAACTTATAGAGAAATCTCATATCTTTTATCAGGTTATTTTTGCTGATGGAACCTTCATTGATGGGAGTACGAGTGAGCTGTCATGTGATGGACCATTAAGAGAACCATATGCCGTGTATTGCCAGGTCTGTATTTCAAGGTTTTCAATGTCCATGCCTGGTCTGAAATATTTGTTATCACAACTAGATTAGGAAAACCATCAGATAACACGTTTGTACGCATATCATGAATGAGAATTTTGCTTGAATTGTCTGATATGGGGTGGTACACACTGGACTCAATGGGGATTAGTTCTGCGTGATGTTGTAAAATCTCTTTGATATGAAATCTTATTTTGAGCAATACGGAGGTGGCAGAAGTGTTGCATTGATATTCGTCAAACGGCATATACTTTTTATAACTGGCACCGAAGTTTATACGTTTGCAGTGTTATTAGGAGAGTTTGTTGTCAGACTTTGCTTAAACGCGGATCAAAGCTTGATCAATCTCAAACTTTTGAGGTATAACAACATTCGTTTCATTTTTCACCGTTCGACCTTGCTGTATGGAAACCTTTCCAAACATTTTTAAAACATAGTAAGAACTGCTATCCTTTGAGTTCATTCATGATAGTCTCATGAAAACACTCACCTTGCTTTTCTGATTAGGTTTATGGCTCACTGTCAGCCGGGATTTCTGAATGAAGAAAATTTTTGGATACTACATCAGGAGACAAGATGCAGGACAAACTTTAAATGTTCCATTCGATGTCCATGTATGCTTGGTTACTTGAAAACATGAAGTGAGATTAGATACGATAAATCGGGATTAAATTCAAATATTTACTTGAATTATTCAACCTTGAATAATTAGAATTATTTATTTCAAATGATCATAAATATAATTTAATTTAAAATTTTAATAATTTGAATTCGAAAATTTTGAATTTAAAACTAAGATAATTCAAATCTAAAATAAATCAAAATTTTTTGTACTTGAAACGATTCAACTCATCCAATTGCGTCTCTAATAATATTGAAATTTTACATTAGTTTGAAATTTTAGTTGGATGTTCAAAGAAGAACAACTTCCGCATTGGATGTGTAACCCCATGTATCAAATATAGTACTTTTTAAAGTTACAATTATTGGTCGATATTAGGAAAAGAAAAATTATTTGTCGGAAATCATGGATCGATTCAATTCCTAAAGTACAGCCGCCAGAAGCTTAAGTTCCTGGCAAAGGCATCATCAAACTGGATATCACACACGTGGCACATTTTCAAAGGATAATGGAAAGTTTTAGTGAAAATTGGCTCAAGCTAGTCCAAGAAAAAAAAAAATCTAGTTGGCTTAGTGCTATATAAGCCACGAAATTCTCAGTACACAATCCAAAATCAGTTTTTTTCTGAAACTTACCAATAATGGCAACACTTTTACAAATCTCCCTTACATTCTCCTCCTTCAGTTCTTCAAATGAAGAGTTTTGTGAAAAACCCATTTCCCGTTACTCTCTAAAAGGACCCAAAATTGCTTCTTTGCAGCAAAAAAGGTTCAAGTCCGGAGCTTTTACGGGGCAAAGATGGAGTTTTGGGGAAGTGGGCAGGGGCAAAGATGGGATTTTTGTGAAAGAAGAAGGGTGGAAGAGGAAGAGACGAGTGGTTTTGGTGAAGTTTAATCAGGGTTTTGGGTTTAATGGTGGTGGCGGTAGTGGAGGTGGAGCTGGTGGTGGTGGAGGTGGGAACATTGATAGTAATACTGCTAGGCTCCTGGGAAATATTGCTTTGGCTATTGGGTTGATTTATCTTTCAATGACTGGACAGCTTGGCTGGGTTTTAGATGCTATTGTCTCCATTTGGGTATTAATCCCTCTCTCTTTCTATATGTATGCATGCGAAATTTAGCTTTCTATTGTTTTTACTTTTCATTTCATTATTGGGTTTTTTGTGGTATGCCCAATATCCCGGATGGTCTGGTTGAAGATTCTATTCGAAGATCAAATTGCCTGCATTTCTTTTACTTTTTATGTAATACTAGAGTTATCTTCTTTTGCAATGCATTTTTGCTCAATTGAAGATATCAGATTTTGTTCTTATTTGCTGATTTTCTAGTTGTGCTGAATGTAGCATTAGCTTGCATGTAATATAGCACCATTTGTTTTGTGAGACCGTCTTAAATATAGTTTTATACATATATATATATTGACATTAGTCATTTAGTTGCATCTGATAACTGGTATTTTCATCTCCAGCTTCTAGCGGTGCTCGTACCCATTGTAGGTTTGGGAGCCTTCCTCTGGTGGGCAGGCCGAGATATTGTTCAAAGCAGTGTGAGTCTTCTTTAATATTTGGTTCCTCGTTGAGTTTATATAACTCTAATTTCTTCAATTGTCTTTCTATGGGTTATAGAAACCCTCCACCATAGGAGTTCTTGCAAGATCAACTAATATTTAAAAGGCTTCTTTCCATACCTAAAAGCAATAGGACATGTTTGTCTAAAACTCTAAATCACTGGTTGAAATCTTCTAGTTGCATATCTTAGTCAATATCTTCAGTGGCTTTAGCAACATTTCAAGTCTTTGCAATCATTCTTTTGAAAATCTATAAATCGGTTTGTTATTGAGAGAATGGTCTGAACTCATTGGTCTGAAACGCCTATAATGGAGGTTTTCCATTAACCTATATCCATATACTTATTGGTTTAATTCCCAAAATTTGTGTAAGCGAATGCATCTAGCATCTATGAATTATGACAAACTTGGTAATAAATAATTCTAATAAAACCATATCAAACTGGATAATGTAAAAATAAAAAGAAGATGAAGGTATGTAGTTGACCCCCTTAGACCTCTCAAGAGCCTTGTGGCTGATGGCCCTTCGGAGCATTTAATGGAGGACCAAGAGCAAGTTTGAGTAATTTTCCCTAATAAATGAGGTCTAGTAACAAAGTTTTCAGAATGTGTTGCCTACTGCAGTACCCGCTCATGTACATGATATAATGATGTTTATGTTAGCCACTCCCTGTCTGTACTTGTAGTCATAAGTATCAAATATCTTCCTGTTATCTTTTCAGAGATACAACCCTGTTTTACTTGGTGTTCTTTATAATATGAAGAAATATATGGAAATTCGTCTACTACTGACTGTCTTTAGTAATATCTGATTTATGTGCAGTGCCCAAACTGTGGAAATGATTTTCAGATTTTCAAGTAAGCACAATAAACATCTCTTAGGTAACTTATGGGACAATTATGAAATGGTTTTGTAATTCTTCAGACATTGATGGTAATGGTGATTTTTTACAGGTCTTTTCTAAACGATGAGTTACAGCTGTGCCCTTACTGCAGTCAGCCATTCTCTGGTAAATTGATTATGATTTAACAATTTCACTTGAAGCTAGAATTGACAATCTACAAATATTAACTTGACCCTCTAGTCCTTGCTCACATTATTATTGAATTGGATATGATGGTGAAATTATTTTTTATGTTTATTGATACATCTTCTCTTTCAGACTCATGAAGATGTCTCCATAGATTATGCCGGATAATCTGGCTAAAATTGTAGCGAGCCTGACTAGCTAATGTCTATTGCATTTATTACTTTGAGTTGGATTGACATTCTTTTCATGTTTTTTTGACTTGTTGATTTCATTGCAGTGGTGGATGACAAGTTTGTTGAGGAACCTGTAAAGTTCTCCAACCAAACTTCAAGATCAAAACAAGCATTCAATGGTTTCAACCCTGGCTCCAAGAAAGGTTCCCTCTTTGACCCCTGTTGCCATTTTTGGGTTTCAGAATCTTTTCTATTTCTTAGAGAATTTAGTATTAACTGTCATTTATGGCGTTATTATAACTGGCTTCAGTATGTTTTGGTTCTTATAAGTTCAATTGAATACAGTCGGGCATCCATTTGCAGCTTCTTTATGTATTTTTGAGTTTGCCAAGTTTCTGTTACCTAAGATTATCAACATTGCAACTTGAATTGTTTTTCGATTGTACAAACCTGGCTCAAAGCAGTACATCATAGCTTTAAAACCATACAGTTAGAAGAAAAACAGAACATGAGATTTGCAATATGATCGTAGGACTTTACTTTTTAAAGTTGGAACTGCCATCTACTTCATTGAAAGTAAGTCTCACATTTAAAAACTTGATTCTATCTTGATCCTCAATTTATATTGTTTGTGCATATTTTCCACAAACAACATGAGAAAAAAAGGGAAGAAAGAGAAGGTGCCCTAGATTTTGCATATTGAACATAAATCATTTATCAAAAGGATTCTTCATATAGAGAGTTATAAACATCCACGATATTTGGATATGATAAGACAAGATGTAAATTTAAGTTCCTGATATCTATCATGGTTTGTTCAGGAAAGGATTCTTCAGCTGCAGTTGTTGATATTGAGGCTGAAGTAAAAGATGCAGACTGAAGGCTATCATACATGGTAAAGAACTTAAATATTGCAGTAAAGAGGATTCATGAATCATCATGCTGTAGATGAAGACTAAGAATATGAATTGCAAATGTTCCATCGATTTTGGCAAAATGTGTGGCATGACTCTATATTTTCATTTTTTTTTGTTCCTCGTAAAAGGTGAATGAATATTTCACTTCATGTTACCGCACAGCTAGCTCTAGCATAACTCTGTATATAATCTGTTGTCAGCTACTATCTTTTTCTTCTCCCATTCTCTTCATATTTATGGAACCTTCAGGAATGAAGTAATAAAACAAACTGACTTGTAAGGAAGGTCTAGTTTAAACCATGAAGGCTTAAATATGCTGGGAAAGTAGCAAATAAAACAATCTTAAGCAAATTTTCATCTTTGAGTCCTTGATGATTGGATTTTTCTGCGTTCATAATTTCTTCCGATGTCGATTTCTAATAATTTTGCATGTTTAGTTTCCTTGATTTTTCTTGTCCAAGGTCCAAGACATGTATAATTTGAATTATGAAAATAGTAAAGATGACTTTGAATAGGTTGGATGCATTTGCAAAAAAATTCTCATCGTAATTCAAATGGATAAGGTGCAACCCACCATAGCGAATGAGCCATGCAACACTGCTACGATCCATGAATGGAGTAAACCCGGTAATATTTATATAACAGCAGCTATTTCCATAATCACTGCAGTTCAATCCAGAGGAGGTGGAACAGCTGATAAACCAATTGGCTATACTACCAATACGGCATAAAACTGTCCATCAGACGACTGAGAACTATTATTCTGAAGAAGACAGGTAATGAAAACCAAGAATACTGACATTGAAGGGGCTGCCAGAACTGCTCTAGCCCCTAGGAGACCCCATACTGCTTGGTTTTGAGTAAAATGAATGTTGATCAAATCATTTGCAGCCAATCAATTGTAAATCTCAGCACTTCAGTTAGGAACCCTTCTGAAATCCAAGGTTTAGATGAAAAATTTTTTGTTCCAAGTTGTATGGTTGGAAACCAGTTTGACAAATATATCTGGAAAATTTTTCAAAGTTGCATTAAATTACAGTTAATGTCATTGTCACAAACAAATTCAGATAAGAATTTTCAGATTGTATAACATTACCTTATGTCAAAAACATTTAGAAAGGAAAATGCTTCTTCGTATACAGATGAAGCTATATGGTTTTCTGACAAAAGTTGGCTCTACATTTCGTCATCAACCCATGAAATTTCACCGGTATCTGGTGAACTATCTATTCCTTTGGCCATGTTCTTCAGAATCTTACCATAAATAACTTCATTTTTTTATCTTTTTCATTCCATAAGTTCCGAGTAATAATTATTTTGTTTTATTCTTTTTTTATCCTTTCATATTTGCACTTGGAAAAACCTTAACAGCTTAACCAGTATGACATGACTATCTAAGACACTAACAACAGAGAACGTGGAGAAATGTAATTGATGGGCCTGGAGAAGCTTGGATATTTCCATGCTTCATTAAGCAAAGCAAGAGCAGATCGAAGTCATCTGCTATTCCTGTTGGTTGGCTTGAACTTGTTTGCCGAAAACATGTCACAGATGGCAATGTCTTTACCACAAATCCATGATGTACTCAGCTCAGAACTCAAGTGGAGAAAAATTATTCTGCCACTTTCAAGATTCCAAACATTGCAATTCGAAGTATAATTAGAGTTTTTATCCAATTCCATGAAGAAAACTTACAATTCACAAGAACAATATCATTAAATTGGCTGACAGAAAAGCCCTTGGAGACCACAAATTGCTTGGTTGCGAAGAATATGATTCATGATAATTGCAGTTTTCTTAAGAATTTTCAACTGTTAAAAAGGGTATTAAGCATGAAATTTTCAGGCATCTATGGATGCAGCATAGGATGAAAACAACCACAACAGAAACTATCATTATTATTATTATTCGCTTGGTGAAATGACCACAAGAGAAATTAACAGAAGTGATAACAGTCACCACCATTATTTTTAAGAGTCAAGAACATAACATAAACAGGGCAAACTACATCATGTAATATGGATAGGAAAGGCATTCTCATCCTGTATACTTAGCTGACTGCCTCTTATGTATTCACACCCTGTAGAGCTTACTTGGATGCCTGTCCAACCCTCTGCATAAAAGAAAAAATCACCCCAACAAGTTTAAGCGGTTTTTCAAGTTTCAGAACCATGTATATTGTCCCATAAATCAAATTGCATAACGAAGCCATAGATGAGGTAAATGGCAAAGACTAAATTCATCCCAAAGCTACTTGCATAGTATACAAATGATACTACAATTAGACCAACACTGGTAAAAATCCTAAAATGTTTGATATATATGCACTGAAATTGCCATAAAAAATAAACAATGGCATTAGCATTTTCCTACCTTAATCTAAAACAACATAAAAAGTTACACTCTTCATTACAATAGCATTGTTTCTTTCTAAAGAGTCTATTTGTACAATCACACCATAGTCAAGGTTCAAACACATAGAAAGTGAGCAGATGTGTATACTTAAGGGTTTTTTTTTTTTTTAATTAAAGGCAAAACATGCATTGGATAACCAACAAAATGAATAGTCAATTAGTAAAAAAGGTTTTCAAAAAATGATTACCTCTTCTTCTTTCTCTTCCTTCTTGCCTCTAGTGAAATACTTATAACCGCCGTAAAAGAGTAAACCCCAGCCTGTTAAAGAAACAATCACAAACTGCAACAAACAGAAAAGATTAATCAATAAAAAAAGGTGAAATTTTAAGCAATTCAAAGAAATGGGTTTTCAAAAATAAGCAACTAAACAATTAAAAAGATATATATATATATAAACTTACATGGTCTTCTTTCCATTTAGATGGGTTCATGGGGTCTTCCCACAAATTCACCTTTGTAGGTCCATGATGATCTGCAACACAACCCAAACACCAAAAAAATAATTTATTTTTTATTGAAATCAGCTCAAAAAGAAGAAAAACATAATTTTTGCTATCATGGTTATAAAATGGTGATAGAAATGTGAGAGGGTAGTACCACCGCCACCGCCGGCGAATTCGCGGCAGTGAATGAGGGTGGCAGCTTGAGGAGTCGAATTAGCTGACTTTTCTGGGACAGCCAAGCCAGATTGGTGGCCTGGCGAGCCCTGGTGGTCCAAGCTGACATAGTTTTCGTTGCAAGCTGCTCTCTCTGTTTCTTGGAGTGCTTTTGGGAGTGTTTGTGGGAGCGTATAGAAACTACAGGAGAACTGACAAATGAGACTCAACTTTAAGCCATTCTGTTTCATGAATTGACCCGAACCATTGGAGTCGGTTTGGGACATGTATCTTTAAATTTGGACCCGGTCTATGAAAGTGTTTTATTTTTAAATAATAATTTATTTAATTTTATTTTTAAAGTATATATTTTAAAATCTTTAAATATTAATATGATTTTTTTAAATATTTTAATATTAAATCTAAATTAAACTAAAATAGATGAATTTTATTGATCAGATGAGACCGAATTTTAAAATCAATAAAAATATCAGCCAAACTTGATTTTGTTCGATCCGAACTTATCAATATGTTAAAGTGCAATGGGAAAGACTGTCCTGATTTCCTAGTAATTGGTAAAACATTGGATTACATGTCCTTCATTTGTGTCAAATTTTGTTATGCCACATTTTGATCCAATTGGTAAATACTTTTTACAACAGGATAGGATACAAGGAAATTATGGAAAGATTTTAAACAGTTTGGAAATTCATTTCTCCTAAATGAATAAAAGGAAATTATGGTAAGTAACCAAATAGAAAAATTGGTATGAATTTCATTTCATGATATACTTTCCTACAATAACTCAGAAATGACACAGGCAATTAGGCCTATGCAATTGGAAATGCCCATGCAGGCGGTTACAGTACTCACAACACTAACAACCTGAAAATCAGAAACTAAGCACGAGTACTGTTTTCCATTAAAAGCAAGCCAATGGAGAAGACTACTCTGATTTTTGTTGGTATCGTAGCCTGCCTCATCTCCATTGCTTCAGCAACACCAGGAATTGCCACCTTTTACACAAACTATGTTCGTGAGTATTATTTAATTTCTCCTACTCAATTGAATCAAAATTTTAATTTATTTCTTTCCTTCATAATATATAACGTTTTAATCCCATTATTACATATATATGAAAACGTTAATCATGCTATTATCGTTGTTTGTAGCTTCTGCGTGGTATGGAAACTAGGATAGTGGTAACATGATTGCGGCAGCTGGTGATACTCTGTGGAATAATGGGGCAGTGTGTGGAAAATTTTTCACTGTCACATGCACAGGCGCCCGAAATGCCGTGCCACATCCATGCACAGGCAAGAGTGTAACCGTGAAGATCGTGGATCACTGTCCTGGATGCCCTTCAACCATTGACCTCTCTCGGGAAGCCTTCACTCAGATTGCCAACCCCGTCGCCGGTATCATTAACATTGACTACAAGCAGTAAGCAACTAAGCGTAGCACATTTCCTTGAAGTTTTTTTTTTTTTTAATGCAATATATAACATATGATTTTGTTTTGTGGTTTTGCAGGAATTGAAAATTTTTTGCATACAGAGACTGAAGTTTAGTCATAAATGTTTATTGTAATAAAATAATGTCTGTTTTGTAATAAATTTCATAGCAGTAATAGTGAGGTGAAGAAATTAAGCTTGAAGTACCTCTTGATGCTATATATATCCCCATCATTTGAGAAAATTAAATTATATTTATCAATAAGTTGTTAGGAAATTAAAATGAACAATTAAATAACACATCATGAATGATTATATTTATTAATTTATGCATTGTAAGGTTAATTTTTCAACATATTATTTTACATTAAAATTTAAATTTTAAATATTAATTAACTCGTTCATATATTTTTAATCCAAATTATTGTAAACGAAATTTGCACAAAAAAGTGAGTAATAATTTTAATTTTTATGATAAATAGTAAAATAAAATCAGTACATGTTTATGATAAATAGTGAAATAAACTTTGAAGCATTGTAATCAATCCAAGAAAACACCACTAATCAACCAAATGCAAATACGAGTCATGATTTGTATATACTATAATTACAGGTAAAAAAAAACAAACACATAATTACAATGAAAAACATTGAATTTGGCCAATTTCACTGACAGTCACATGATCTGTTAGTAGAACGCTAGATACTTAATTTCAGTGATTAGAATTCAAATCTTTGATAGCTTCAAGTAAAATAAATTGTCGCATTTTAAATCCTACTGGCAAAGGAAAGACCTTCCATTCTAAGTTGTTACTAAAAGTAGTTGTATTATGGTATACTATGTAATAGCAGAACTCCTACAGATACAAAACAGAAGTTAGACTGATCTCCATGGGAAGAATACAATAAGCCAATCTAAATAAGTGCAAGTGCGAGCAATTTCAACCCGATTCCAAAAAACCTTTGATAAATATGGAAATCTGTTCTAAAGCAATAATTTATAAGGGTAATTACCCGATGTTCCTGGCTAATACTCCAAATAGATTGAAAAAAAAAAAAAAAACACCAGAAAGGCCAATAAGATAAGAAACAGCAATGTTGAATGAGAGCAGAAGTGAAAAGGTATATGAAGATTCCAGCTAAAAGCTTTGCTTCTTTTGTAAGAAAAGTGAAGAATGTAGCAAATTAAAAATAATTGAGGCAAGGTATCTAATGCAAGATGCATGGAAAAAGAAAAGCATTGTAACTAGAAAACCAAAAGGATCGATGAGGTTGAAACTGTTAGTACTTAGTTGTTAACCACCATGCTTCTTCTTAACACAAGGGAAAGACAGCCTTTATATTACATTACCAGCAGGCAAAGTACTTGTAACATATATGAGTAGAAGTGTTGATATCCAACAATCTAACAGAAATAGGTTCTGCTTTTAAGTCTTACGCAGAACAGAGATCAAAGGGCATGATGAATCAAGCATTTACATCAACACCATCCAACATCAAAAAAATAAGTTAAGATTATTTTACAATCAAAATTGAGCATCACATCCTTGTACATTATCTCCGCTGAGAAATTTGTTTCAAAGTAGCATAACTTTATTTTCAGTTTGAAAAATGCAGTCCTAGAGTTCTTAGATGTAAAACGCCTGCACTCTACTTCTAGGATCTCTATCATTCCAGCTTAAGGCATGTTTTGAAATGGTTGAAGCTTGAAAGTGAAACTTTCAAGGAGAGAACTTGTGTTATTCCATTGAGGAAAGGA